TGTTTCACATCTTTTTTGCATTATCGCTTCAGTTCCTTAAATTCCCTCAAATCTACGTGACGTATAATTCACGCCATCGCATCGTTGCGTCTTTATCACATCTTGTTTACGTTACCTTAAGATCTCCTTCAAGTCTTCCTCACCATTACTCTTCGCCACTTCTCCTTTCACTCTTCTCTTATCATACTGCCATTTCTCCTCCTTTGCATTTTCCCTTTTAATCTCCGCATCCCTCACGGTTTCTTTACGTCTTCAAGTCTTCCCCATCATTGTTTAATATCTCCTTTAACCCTTTCCCTCATCATACCTGCCTCAATCTTCCCTCGCACATCCTTCACGATCTATCTACCCTTCACACCCATTTTACCATTTCTTCGCACTTTCATCAAGTTTATTTGGTGCTTCGCTCACATTTTCTTCTCGCAAATCTTTTACAGCGCCGAGGTACATGTGCGTATCTAAAAAAAGGAGTTCCTGTTAGTTTCAGATCTCATACCCTTTCACGCTTGCTTCATATTACGCGCCCACACTCCTTATTTTTTACAACTGGTGCTTCCTCCAGGTTTCCATACTTCACATTTCTGTAACCACTTCCCCCTTCCCATCGTACCTATTTCAATCGCGCACTTTCTTCTTGTGTCTTGTAGACTCGTCAACGTCATTTTGGCATCTCCTCTTTAATATCCTTCGCATATTCTTCAAACCTTCTTAATGACCGGTTGCTGCACATTTACCTCCACCCTGTTCATGTTTTTAACGCATTTCTCGTGCTTTTTGTGCTCTTTTACCACCCGCACGTTAGCAAAAAATGACCCGCACTTTTTTTAACGGAAATACACGTTTTGAAGTACCAGGAATTCTGTCCTCTCCTCCTCTCATCATGCATCCTACGCGTCTCTTTCACGCTACCGTTTTGTTTATCCACGCATCTTTCAAACCTTCTTTTCTATTCCTTTTTCTGCCTTCCATATTGCTCGTTTGAAATGTCCCCCCCCCCCCCCCCCTTCTGTCTTATATCACGCTAACGCCTGCCTTATGGCTCTTTGATATCCGCTTCACGCTTATTTGACAGTTTTTTAAGTCTTCTTCACGCCACTCTTTTTTTATACCTCTCTCGATTGTTCTTCACGCTTCCTGCTTCACTTTTCTTTGACTAGTTTGTTTTGCTTGTTTACCACCACATTTTTGTTATTATCCCCTCTCGCCGTCATGCCTACCAGCCTACTTCTTCACACCATTGTGACATTTTCTTCATGACACCTGATTTACCTCCTTTTTACATCCTCTTTACATCGCCCACTGGTTTTCTTTTGACATGGGGGGGGGGTCGTTTTCTACCAACTACTTACGTTCTTTCTGTCTCTTATCAAAGTACGGGGAGGAGGGGAAGGGGGTGTGGAACTGGATTTATCCTCCATGGTACTCTAATGAAAGGTCTCAACGAAAGGAATTAATTTCTACCAACCATAGCCGTTATACCTCAAGAACGGATTGTCGGAAGAGGGTACTCACAAAGGGCGATTGAAACGTCTGCAACAAATATATCTATTGGTCACAAACAAAAGCTATTTCGGTTAAAAAAACCTTTATCTGCACAAGAGTTGTGCACAATTTATACTTGCTCCTATTGTCTTACACTTTCGTCACGCTTCTCGTTTTGTACGTAAAGGTCGATTCACATTAGTGGTCACATCTCGGTCCACTCACGGTATTATATACGTATAATAAACGTGAGATAAATACAAATCTACCTCCGTTTCTTCATCTATAACAGATACGATGTTTTTAATTACAGATGTTGGATCACCTGAAGGTATAAGTATCGATTGGGTGTCTAGAAATGTCTACTGGACTGATTCAACTAAAGACACCATCGAAGTAGCCAATATCGAGACAAAATTAAGAACCACTCTATTTAAAACTGGCTTAGTTAATCCACGTGGAATTGCAGTACATCCCCAGAGAGGGTAAGCATATTAGCAGTTTTCGAAATTTTTAAATTTAATATTTTAGAAAAATCTTTTGGAGCGACTGGGACAGGGATGATCCAAAAATTGAGTGGGCGAATGCAGACGGTACCGGGCGTGAAATATTTTTAAAAAGTGACAGTGTGAAGCTACCAAACTCATTGGTTATCGATTTTGATACCGAACGTATCTGTTACGCGGATGCGGGTACGAAGAAGATTATGTGTCTCGATATTGACTCCAAGTATGCGCACACTATTGCAGAAAACTGCACCTATCCATTTGGAATAACAGTCACAGATGAAATCATTTATTGGTCGGATTGGATTTCGTAAGTATGCTTTGGTAGGAAATGACTCTAGAACATGTTCTCTAGGAAAAAAATTGAACGCGTAAACAAACACACACTGGAACGTTTGAAACCGCTAAATGTGCCCCTTGCTGGTACCAACAAATTGTACGGGTTAGTGGCCGTCCCTCAACATTGCTTGGGGTTAGTCAACGTGTGCCAATACTACAAGAGTCAGTGTCCGGTCAATCACATATGTTTACCAGATGGCAAAGGGAGTCGCAGATGTGTGTGTGGATACGACATAAGTTCCCCATCCAGTAAACCTCCTTGTATTCCGTAACTTTGTCGTTTATATTTTATCACCATTCATCATTCATTTGTAGAAATAAAGCAAAACGTGTTTATTTACTAACTCAGTACATTAATTCTTGGCTTCGGTTTCATCGTCCTGGTCTTGCTGGGGTGGTTCAGTATTACAGTACTTCTCAAAATCGGCCTTATACTTTAATAAATACACGCATAAGGCATTTATGGGTTCAGGGGGTCGCTCGCTGATTAAGTACTGTAAAGCTGGCATCAGTATGGGAACAACCGTTTCCTCTAGATATTGCTTTGGCGGCAATGCTGTTAAGTCAATTCTGTTGTAGTTCTTAAATAAGAACTGTTCTTCATTTTCGCTTTCTGCAATTATCTACAAAGGTATCTAATCATCAAAGCACTGTATCCGCATTTAGCATACTTTAAGTAACTCGCAATATTTAGCCGAAGAAAATAGATTGCATTTGTCTTCTGAAAATTCCTCAGGTTCCTGATGTACGTCTTCCTCCGGTTCCGCTTCTGAGTCATAAAAATATTAAAAATCTAGTAAGCCATAGTTGCCAAAAAGCAACCTTATCAGTAGCAATAATAAATTATAGTGTGTAATACTGTAGTTCCTTTTACTTTGTTACGGTAAATAGGTTAGTTCGTATGGTTTTGGATGGAAGGAAAGTGGTAGATAGAGACCAAGGAATCATTAATATTAAAAATGATTGTTACGTTATTGCGAAACAGTTTTTTTTTTGTTGAAAAACTCGCTAGAAATTATGGTACGTTGCTAAGATGAAGCAGTTACCTAAAGTTAATCAAAACCCACACGCGTGTCATAGATTCTAGCTGCATATCGACCAGAATTCTTGCGACGCAACGTTTCACGCTTTACCATCGAGAGAGTTTATTAGCCAGATTTTGACCCGCGCGACATCTATTTACGTCTTGCCCAGACCTTCCAGCTTCTCTTTGCGAGTACCTTTTCCAACAACTCTATTTTTGATATATACAAATTTAAATTTTTATCCGACCGACGACGGGGACGGTTTCTCCATTCGATTGTGAATCGTCCGCATCCGCAATAATTTAATAACCATTATGCAAATAAACACGGTGTCCATTTTTTCGAGTGCCACTATGGGGATCTCGCTTATCTTCAGAGATAGAAACTTGGTTAAATTAGGGCAAAGTTGCGAATTTTCGTGCCGAATAATAATCTAAAAATAATTTTATAATATCTTCAATAGTTTTGAAAATATGGCAAAAAATTGAAAATTTCTGATTTTCATTTTTAACTTTTTCAATGTAAACTAATATTGCACTAGACATTTCTAATTAACACATTCAGACACTTTTTAATGGAGATTTCGAATATGGCATCCCGTTTTTAATAACTTTCTAGATAACGGAGAAACCGTGGCAACTTTAGTTTTTTTTTATGGGCGCGGTTTTGGATTTTGACATTTTGAAATTAGGTCTTTTTTCTCTCTACAACGATATATCACACATGGTGGTTCAGTATCACATTTTTTCTAAAAATACAATTTTCATTTTCTGCAAAGAGTGCTATGCAAAAACAAAACGTTCTTTTGTTATGAACAAAATGTTGACTTATTTCAAGCAGTGTCATTTACGATTGTGCTAGTTTTATTGCGAAAATATTATACAGTGTGTAAAGCGATGGGGTATACAAGAGGGATTTTTTTGTTAAATATTGATTTATGAAAAAAATTTATTCTTCATGATATTTTTTGCTTGCTTTGAAAGTACCAATAACGTTTCGATTGTTTGTGGTTTGATAGCAATAAGCCGCGTACAGACCGGATTTCAACGCCAAGCCAACGAATCCAAGCACATGTGACGTTGGCGTTTGTCGTTGGAAACGATTGGAATGCCCTCGTCCACACCAAAATTTAAGATTTGAGTTGGACTTGGTGGGACCGTGTTGGGTAAAGTTCGGTAACCGGTGCTGCTGGTTTGTCAAACAATGTCAAGCGACGAGGACGATTTACTGCTGGCGAGTGCGGGGTTTTTAATAATGAATTCTTTAATTTCAAAGAAAAAGAAGAAAAAACGGCCTAGGCGTTGGTGGGTAACAACACCATTTAAAAATAGGAGTTTGTACAGTGGCAGTCACTTACTAGAAGAACTTCAAAAAGAAGATGGTGGACATTTTAAAAAGTCAGACAAACGACTAAAAACTAAAATCGCGACAAATCCTGTCCAGACCACATCAAATTTCCCTTTGATGTACCGCTCACCGAGCGAACGCAATCGAACGCCAACAGCGTCGTTGGAAGCGGTTGGAAACCGTTGGCTTGCGAGGTACACACCAATCCCAACACCTCCAAATCTGTAACCACAGGCTTGCGTTGGAAACTCGGTCTGTACGCGCCTATACGCTATTTTGATCATAATGTAGAATAACTTTCAATAAAAAAAATTAATTTTATTATTTTTCCAGATTTCTATAAATAAATTTTAGATTATCGAAACGTTATTGGTACTTTCAAAGCAAGCAAAAAATATCATGAAGAATAAATTTTTTTCATAAGTCAATATTTAACAAAAAATTCCCTCTTGTATACCCCATCGCTTTATCATGAAGTTCTTCAGGCGTATGGTTAAGGAATTAAGCACAATAAATAATTAAGTACGCAAAACTAAAAATGCAATTTAATGTCATCATAACATGTCGGCTACTTAAACACAACTTTTTGAAACTACAGCGACATCTTACAGTTAAAATAAAGAACTCATGTATAATTGCTTGCTATCAACACTCCCCCTCAATTATACACTCCTTAAAAATAAAGATTTCTATTTCCCCTACAGGGCAAAAAAACATTTAGAATATAATAAAAATTCTTAACCTAGATATTATGAACTTTAACCACATTTAATAAGTTTTTAAAATATTCAAATTTACTTAATGACAATGATTTTGTTAAAATATCTGCTTGCTGTTCGTTTGAGGGTATATATTGAATATGTATTCTTTCAGATTCCACACAGTCTCTAATATAATGATGTTTAATGTCGATGTGTTTGGTTCGACGAGTTTCCAATGTTGATGCCATTCTAATACAGGATTGATTATCTTCGTTAATGACAATCGGAAAAATATTAAGATGTAAAATTTCTTGACATATGTGACCGAAAAATAAGCAATTGCTAACACATGTCGCTAAAGCTACATATTCGGCTTCAGAGCTTGATAACGCTACTGTGCACTGCTTTCTTGTTTTCCAATCAATAACATTATTGTTCATTTTAATGACGTATCCGGAAATACTTTTACGGTCATTAATATTATTTGCAAAGTCCGCATCGACATATGCATTAATGTTTAACTCTGAACTACCTTTAGAAAACATCAAACCATGATCAAATGTGTTTTTCAAGTAGGTACCTCAGAATCCTTTTTAAATTAGTCCAATGTTCAAAAGTATAATTATTTTGGAATTGACTGTAATATGTTACTGAAAAACTTAAATCTGGGCGTGATCCTAACATTATATACATAAGTGATCCGATAAGTTCTCTATAGGGCAAATTTTCATGACTGACACAATTTTTAGCTTCACCTAGTTGCAATTTATATTCAATTGGTAAATTTGAACTTTTACAGTCAAGCATGTTGAACCTCTTTAGGATTTTCCATATCAATTTACTCTGAGAAACATAAACCTTACCTTCAAATTTACTTATTTGCAATCCAAGAAAATTTATACAAGTATTTTGAAATTGTTTCATTTTAAAACTTTCCATTAATTTGTTTTTTACTAAAGTTAAGCTATCCTCAGATTTAGAAAACATGATTAAATCATCAACGTGAACTAAAACAAATGTTTGATCATTAAAATACAGGCATGGATCCTTTTTAGAACGTTTAAAACCTAATTTAATCATAAAACTGTTAAAAAGTGAATTCCAACATTTCGGTGATTGACGAAGTCCATATAGGGCTTTATTTATTTTGCAAACTATGCCAGAACTTTCAATTTTTAAACCTTCAGGTGGTTTCATATAAACTGGATTTTTTAGTGTACCATTAAGAAATGCTGTCTTAAAATCAAGTTGCATTACAAATAAATCAAATTCAACATACAAAGAAATTAAAAACCTTAAACTTGGCATACGTGCGACAGGTGAGTACACATTTTCAATTACCTCATCTTGTTTGTAGCCGCGTGCTACCAACCGTGCCTTTTTCTTCTTTTCGTTATCCACGATCTTCTCAGAAAACACCCACCTTGAGTCAATGACAGTCTCATTTTCTGGTTTTCTCACAAGTTGCCACGTATTGTTCTCTTCTAATGCAGTTAGCTCTTCTTGTATCGCTTTCTCCCAACCTTGATTGACCTCTAAGGCTTCCTTGTAGTTTTTCGGAACATCTGTGATTAAGTTACATGTTGACAATGCTGCAAATAAATTTAAATCATCTTCTTCATCCAAATAATAGTCGTCGAGATATTTCGGCTGCTTCTTATTACGCACACTCCTCCGTACAGTTGGTTGTCTCTTCTCCACGTCCTTGTCTGACTGAATTTCCCTGTCGTTCAAGTTCTCTATGTCATCTTGGTTTACCTCGGGGTTCTCAGCTCTCGTAGATTCTTCTGCGTCACTGTCGAGTAAGATTCGTCTAGGTTTCGTATCGCCTATTCCTTCGTCGAAGACTACATTTCTTCCATGTACGACCTTTTGATTTTCAACATCTAGTAACCGGTACCCATTATCAGCATACCCGATCATCAATAATTTTCGTGTGTGAGGGTCCAACTTCGATTTTCTTAATTCTTTGGGAATATGATTATATGCCTTACAGCCAAATATTTTCACCTTGTCTAGATTCTGCTTTTCTCCATACCAAACCTCCGCAGGAGTTAAATCATTTGCTAAAACTCTCGTCTTCAATCGATTAATTAAGTAGACAGCAGTTCGCACTGCCTCTCCCCAATATATTTTCTCCAAACCAGAGTCAAAGATTAAGCATCTTGCCTTCTCCATAATGGTTCGATTGAACCTCTCTGAAACTCCATTTTGTTGTGGATTGAACGGTACAGTATATTGAATTTTTATCCCTTTTTGTTGACAGAAACTTTGAAATAACTTAGAGGAATATTCGCCTCCATTGTCGCACCTTAATCGATGGACACGTACATTGAATTTCGTTTCAGCCATTGCGACAAAATTTTGAAACTTTTCTAATGCTTCGCTTTTTCGGTTCAATAAGTACACCACACAAAAATGTGAGAAGTGGTCGATAAACGTTATGAAGTACTGTTTAGCATCGTACGTTGATGGATATGGGACCGCAAATGTCTGTCGAAATTACTTCCAGTATCCGTGTTGGTTTCCTTTCATTCCGTATAGGCACATATGGTTTCCGTGTTTGCTTCGCCTTAACACAGATTTCACAAACTTCTGGAACAGGATACTTGGATGAATGTCCCATTCTTCGATGTTGCAACATTTTTTCTTCGTTGTATGTCATATTAACAAAACGTGTTGGGGTTGAAATTGTAATGAAACTACATACAGCTTCCTTCCAAATATGCTTTTAGTATTACCTTGTCGTCTTTCAATATTGTTGCCTTCCGATCCTTAAATACGACTGTTAGTGAATTTTCTTCCAACTTTTTAACGGACAACAAATTGTACAACAGATTGTCACATAACCACACTTTCTGCACCTTCAATTGTTTACCTGTACACGATTTTAAAAATAGATCACCTTCTTTTAACGCAGTTAGAGTTTATTAAATGATTCGTAGCCCCACTATCAAGGATAAATTTGATCATACCGTCATTTCCTGTTTTACAGTTCACATTTGATGCAACGTTTTCACCATCGTACGAACTCACAAATGTCACTGGTTCTTCTTCATTTTCCTGATTTTCCGCACCATGTGCACTGTGTGAAGCCTGAGATCGAACGTTGTTATTATGTCCCAACCCAGAACTTTGTTGTTTTCGTCTTTGCCAACAATCCACCTTTTTATGTCCAACTTTATGACAAAAATGGCACTTGAATGGGAAACTTCCACTTTGGCTGTTTGCAGTAGCGCTCCCTCTTTGATTCTGGAATGTCTTCTTCCACTTTTTGTTGTCGTGGCCCACAAATGCAAGATTACGATCCGTTTGTTCAACATTTTTACTTTGCCGCGACTCTTCCAGCAACAACTTATTTTTGACAAAGTCTAGATCTACACTTTCTTCGTTTTGACAAAACATTACATCTATTGCAGTAGTTACCGACTGATAACTTTCTGGCATCGCTGACAACAACTGTAACACCGTTTCACTTTCATCGATTTTTCCACCCGCTGTCTTTAGCTCAGATAACGTCTGATCAAATTGTGTTAGAAACGTGCTTAATGAAGCATCACCAGCAAACTTCAAACTTCTAAATTTTCTTTGTAAAGCTACCTGTGTAGAAATTCCTCGTCTTGCGTAAGTCTTGTCAAGACTTTCCATCATCTCTTTAGCCGTTTTCTTATCTTTTAACATTTCCAGTACGTTATCCGCTATACTTTGTATTATTACCATTCGAGCTTTAACGTCCTTTTTATTAAAACTTTCCAATTCACCACCTTCACTGGGCGGCATTGTCTTCAGAGCCTCCGACACACCCTGTTGTTCCAAAAGCATTTTAACCCTTCCCATTACCTTTTTAATCACTATTGTAACATACTGGCCACTGGGCCCATAACCTCATGAAGTTCTTCAGGCGTATGGTTAAGGAATTAAGCACAATAAATAATTAAGTACGCAAAACTAAAAATGCAATTTAATGTCATCATAACATGTCGGCTACTTAAACACAACTTTTTGAAACTACAGCGACATCTTACAGTTAAAATAAAGAACTCATGTATAATTGCTTGCTATCAACACTTTACACACTGTATATATATTCTAATGTATTTTGTTCTAATTTAAATTATAATTTTCTTGCAAAACGAAGGTTCAATTCTTCTGTTCATATGAACATCGAATTTTCTCAACACACCTAGTTCCCTGATGCCAACGCTGCAACCGGACATATGCATCAAACTGTCAAACTTTTTTTCACAATAAATGAACGTTTTGTTTTTCCAAAGCACTGTTCCCAAAAAATTAAAAGTTGTATTTTAGGAAAAATGTGATACTGAACCACCATGTGTGATATATCGTCGTAAAGAGAAAAAAAGATGTAATCTTAATAACTCAAAATTAAAAATGGCGTCCATAAGAAAAACTAAAGTAGCCACGTGTTTCTCTGTCATCTGAAATAGTTATTTAAAACGAGATGTCACATTCGCAATCTCCATTGAAAAGTGTTCGAATAATGTGTTAATTAGAAATGTCTAGTACGAGTAGTTTATCATGAAAAAATTAAGAACGAAAATCAGAAAGTTTCGTTTTTTTACGATATTTTCAGAACTATTGATGATATTTTAAATTTCTTTTCAGGTGGTTATTCAGCAGGGAAATTCGCAACTTTGTCCCCATTTACCCAACTTTCTATCTCTTAAGGTAAGCGCATTGAGTTTGAGTTAGAAAACTAATGGAGGGAATATAATGGTAGAGGGGGTAAGAATTTTTGTAGACGGAAGTTGCCACAGATAGAGGCCACTCGCGTGGATAGGTTCCCGTGAAGGTACATTTTGGCCGACATTATTTGACATATGAAAACGCGGGTCCTGTCACTGTCAGTTTTCCACCAAATTCAAATTTTATTAAATTTGCCATTTTAAAGTACCTAATAATTTCGGATCGGTTTGTGCTCTGGTTTATATAAATAACTAACTGCCGCATGTCATTTATCATGTTGTAAGCGAGGTTGTAGGTGCCCAGTTTATGTTTCTTAGTTTTCCAAACGAACCAGTACTTCGAGCAAAGTGGTTACCTAACGTTTGTAAATATATCTCAAGAACAGCTCTCGAAATTTGCCTTTGTGCTCACAACGCTTCATTGACTGTGATTTCGACCAAAGGTTGCACCGGGAAGGCGGAAAATGTTCATCAAATATGCAGTAGGTACTATCAAAACTTGTTTTTGCAGCTAAACGTGTGAGTTTATAATATGGATATCAGGTGTAAGTTTTGTTACGAGTGCGGATACATTTTGAGACCAATAAACAATAAATTATTATTGAACCTCTCTGCCGTTGTAATGAACCTGAGACCAACCAGTCAATTGTAGCTATTGATCAACACAGTGAATTTAATGGGAGTTGTCAAGTTGTAGTGGCTATAGTAAACTGGCCTTAATTATACTACTGGAACACATCGATGTATATTTAGATTTGTAATCAATGATTATATTAAATCTGCATACTTTCCCATCCTTGTCTATTTTGTTTACTTTACCACGAGCATGTATTTTACTCCTTCTACACGTTTTTTTGTTATTATTCCTATTAGTGGAAAGAAAATTATATCTCTACGCCACTGAAGTAAGACGCTAATGATAACGGAAGTAGTGTGGTACTTTAATCACAGCTAGAGGCCACTTTTGGTTCCCGTGGTCTACGCCTGTTCAAGCATTTGATTCCCTCCATTAGTTTTCTAACTCAATGGGTAAGCGAGACCCCACACTGGCACTCGAAAAATGGACACCGTGTATATGAACTTTGTAGTAGATATAAATGGGGTCCGCTAATGGCTTTAAATTTTTTCGATTTTTAAAATTTGTTAGTTCTTGGAAGCGCCTGATTGTTGCGCCATAAGACGAAGACGGGAACTACGTGACGTGAGTCCAGCTAAACCAGATCCGTCGTGGGCACTGCCAATCTTCTGGAAATTGTCCATCTATGTCAATCCGAGGTGTCTGACCAAGTCCAGTTTCTAATTATTTGTTTGGTAAAGTTGTAAGAAGAAAGGTAGAATAGAATGGAAGGGTTGATCAAAAAGTGGTTCATCCGCAGTTAGTACTTGGTTGTTTTTGTTTTTAGTTCGTGAAGAATTAAGGTAAAAGCCGTGAAAGAATAACCGTGGAGCAATTCTCTTCCAACCGCGAAGAAAGTTAAGAAGGAAATTACACATGAGATCGCGATAAGAATTAAGCATCAAAATTCTCCCTTTTATTTAGAGTGAGTGTCATTTTAAAATTTTGCCATGATTGGGCTCGTAAGCGGGATTATAACGATGACGAGCTAGTACATTTTTATAACATAAGAAATGACGACAATCGAATTTGTAAATAGCCGGTCGATATAATTTCAAGGACATTAATGAAAGTGAGGTCGCTTAGTAAAAAAAATATTTACCAGCCGAATACAAGCACCAAATTTTCCATGAAGCTTCCTGAGAGCCTAACAAATAATTTCCGTAGGATTAACACTTCGAGGAGTCCGTGGGAACCCTTTCTATAAGGGTCCGAATCCCTGAAGTTTTTACCATTTTTCTTACAACTTGAATTTTTACATTTTTCCCTCACTACAATTTTGTGGACCGGTTCCGCTTGCAACCGTAAAACCGTTTTAACAAGGATTTTCTGCATAATAACTGTGAATGCGTACGCTTACGACGTTATTCTTAAAGCTGGTATATGAAATCTGTATAACGTACGGTATAATACTGATAATTATTCCTCAAGTTTTGGTCACACGGGGCAAGTACTGCATAATATGTTACAATATTCGACCACTTGAAGTAATTTTTAATTGTCATTCATCAAATCATCAAAATGACCTCCTTGATCTGGTATATAATAGGGTAGCAAAATCAAAATCTAAAATTTATATAAAATACCATGTTTTAAGTGTTCTAGAATCTAGACGTCTTTACGATAAGGCACGTTAATTTACAACACGCTGTAGATGCAATTGATCAAAGTAGTTCTTACCTTCTTCTGGTACGTCTTCCACTTCCACTTCAACACTGCCGCTAACTTCGCGTTCGTCGGATTGTGTGGTTGTTGTTGTTGTTGTGTTTGTGAGTGACATATTTTGAAAAACACTTCTACGTCAAATCTTTCAAACTAACAAAACTTCTCGTTCCGTAAATTAATTTGCGTGACAACCAAACAAATGGGATCATGAAAGTTACAATTAAAAGTAGGCATTTGCGTTCACATCGCACTATAACCTATAATCGAATATTTCTCGCAGATTGGGTGGGTGTCGCTACATGGAGATGGGTAGCAAACGACGATAATTGCGGAATTTGTCGTATGCCATTTGATGGTTGCTGTCCCGATTGTAAATTACCCGGAGACGATTGTCCGCTCGTTTGGGGCCAATGTTCGCACTGCTTTCATATGCACTGTATTGTTAAGTGGTTGCAGTCGCAGCAAGTAAATCAACAGTGTCCGATGTGTAGACAAGAATGGAAGTTTAATAACAAGTAAAAGGTGTGTTGATTTTAAATTTATTTACATGTTTGAGATTTTTGTGGAAAGAAGAATTAAAATATTTTAAGCTCTCTCTCTATTAGTACCTAAATTGAAGTTAATTTTCTATGTTATTAACATCCTAGGTTTCCGTCAGACAGAGGCAATTTGAACCTGGACAAGTATATATGTTTCACATACCTATGTATGATTGTATGGTCATACTCAAGAAGTTTTTGGATTGTATCCATGTTTAAACCTAAGGTGGGCAACTTTTTCTGAAACCAGCACTGCAACGTAAAGGCATAAAATGTCTAACTATCCCTGGTAGCCTTACATTTTCCGTGAGCATTTGCATCAGCAATTACTTGCAGTCCTGTTTGTGTGAACTGTACATCATTGTGCTTGAATTTACAGAATTCCTGTAAGAAGTACACCCAGTAGTAAAATCGTCATAAGGGCTCATTTTTTAAAAGAACTTTGTAACCCTTAAAAAAATTGAATTGAAATTTTAACGCAAATTTCCATACGGAAAGTCATGGTAACAAACAAATTACAAAATTAAGGATGGTAGGCAACACATCATACACTATTGTGTGGTAATTGCACAACTTGATTAGCATTAGCAAATTGCTATCTGCAATACACTATTTTGCCTCTAGTGTTCTGTGTAAGGATTATCTGTTGTCAATTGTGGTCTCATCCTATTTCCTAATTACCTTCTATTGTTAGGGGTTTATTTAAAGTAATGGGTTTTATGGTAAGTTTCATGATGGTTTCAAAAGCTACTGCATTTTTCCCACCAGCACGTTAGGTACTCATATACCAGTACCAGTTATGATTATTAACGATCTCCTAGCGAGTTTATAATTTTGCGGTGTCTGTCCGTCCGTCCGTTAGCACGATAACTCATAAACGAATGGACCGATTACGATGAAATTTTGCAGGTGGATTCTTTATTAAATTTGTAGATTGGAGTTCGTGAATTGGCAATGTAGACAAAAAAATAAAGTAGGCCCTTTTGACATCTCCGTTAGTTATGAACCGAATTGCAGGAAATTCAATATGCGCATAGTTTTAGCCATATAAAACAATTCCAAAAGTTGAGCCTAATCGATCAGCATTCACAGTGCCCTTTTCGCATCTCTACCATTTACAGACCGAATTGCAAACTTTCTTATTTATGAAGGTATTTAAATTAAATTTGATACATAGCTACTTGGAATAAAACCAAATTTAACGCCAGTTTCCAAATTTCGTTTTGCGCATGCGCAGTGCCAACTTTCTTATTTATGGAGGGATTTAAATGAAATTTGATACATAACCACTTTGAATAAAAGCAAATATAACGCCAGTTTCAAAATTTGGTTTTGCGCATGCGCAGTACCGACTTTCTTATTTATGGAGGCATTCAAATGAAATTTGATACATAGCCACATTGAGTCCGCTCAGATGTCGCTACTTTTAAAATATAGATACGAATAATTATAGCTCCACCCATTTTTCCCACTCTCAAAGGCAGATATTTTACTGCACAGATATTTCAACGTTACAATTCTCTGCTAATCTTATCTCCTCGTATTCTATTCGAAATAAATAATATTTCCTTGGTTAGCTTTTAGTTTGGCCATACTTATATTTTATACTTAAGTATGTAAATTCTTACATTACTTGAACGAAATTAATTATTGGATGTGTATTGCGTAACGCACAAATATTAAAGAAGCGAAAAAAGCATATTGTGTATTTAGTGGCATTGCTATAAGGATAACATTTGCTATCCATATGAAAATAAACCAATTTTTCGCTATAAATGATATCTGCTAATTACGGCAATTTTACATAATGTCTTAGATTCCGTCGTCGTTTTAGATTAACTATCGTCGCGATCGTTTATAATTTATAATTTTATATTGCTGCCTGTCTGTTCGTCTGTCTGTGTGCGCGATAACTTTGTTTAGAAACGTCCAGTCGCTTTGAAAATTGGTTATGTTCCTGAGGATAAAAGAAAGGTTGTGACCGTTTTTCAGGCACGTAGGAGACCAGATCAAAAAGGCGTAGCTCCAAAACTGCACATACCTCCAACAAAAAGGTTTTTTAAAATAATACTTGTTAGATAGAACATATGAAGCTCCTTATCTTACTTTTTTACGGTTAAATTTCTCATCAAACCCAAATTATTGGAAATGACTACCTAAATGTGAGGCAAATTTTTACTTGTAAATGGACGTGATTTGTTAAAATATCTGCTTGCTGTTCGTTTGAGGGTATATATTGAATATGTATTCTTTCAGATTCCACACAGTCTCTAATATAATGATGTTTAATGTCGATGTGTTTGGTTCGACGAGTTTCCAATGTTGATGCCATTCTAATACAGGATTGATTATCTTCGTTAATGACAATCGGAAAAATATTAAGATGTAAAATTTCTTGACATATGTGACCGAAAAATAAGCAATTGCTAACACATGTCGCTAAAGCTACATATTCGGCTTCAGAGCTTGATAACGCTACTGTGCACTGCTTTCTTGTTTTCCAATCAATAACATTATTGTTCATTTTAATGACGTATCCGGAAATACTTTTACGGTCATTAATATTATTTGCAAAGTCCGCATCGACATATGCATTAATGTTTAACTCTGAACTACCTTTAGAAAACATCAAACCATGATCAAATGTGTTTTTCAAGTAGGTACCTCAGAATCCTTTTTAAATTAGTCCAATGTTCAAAAGTATAATTATTTTGGAATTGACTGTAATATGTTACTGAAAAACTTAAATCTGGGCGTGATCCTAACATTATATACATAAGTGATCCGATAAGTTCTCTATAGGGCAAATTTTCATGACTGACACAATTTTTAGCTTCACCTAGTTGCAATTTATATTCAATTGGTAAATTTGAACTTTTACAGTCAAGCATGTTGAACCTCTTTAGGATTTTCCATATCAATTTACTCTGAGAAACATAAACCTTACCTTCAAATTTACTTATTTGCAATCCAAGAAAATTTATACAAGTATTTTGAAATTGTTTCATTTTAAAACTTTCCATTAATTTGTTTTTTACTAAAGTTAAGCTATCCTCAGATTTAGAAAACATGATTAAATCATCAACGTGAACTAAAACAAATGTTTGATCATTAAAATACAGGCATGGATCCTTTTTAGAACGTTTAAAACCTAATTTAATCATAAAACTGTTAAAAAGTGAATTCCAACATTTCGGTGATTGACGAAGTCCATATAGGGCTTTATTTATTTTGCAAACTATGCCAGAACTTTCAATTTTTAAACCTTCAGGTGGTTTCATATAAACTGGATTTTTTAGTGTACCATTAAGAAATGCTGTCTTAAAATCAAGTTGCATTACAAATAAATCAAATTCAACATACAAAGAAATTAAAAACCTTAAACTTGGCATACGTGCGACAGGTGAGTACACATTTTCAATTACCTCATCTTGTTTGTAGCCGCGTGCTACCAACCGTGCCTTTTTCTTCTTTTCGTTATCCACGATCTTCTCAGAAAACACCCACCTTGAGTCAATGACAGTCTCATTTTCTGGTTTTCTCACAAGTTGCCACGTATTGTTCTCTTCTAATGCAGTTAGCTCTTCTTGTATCGCTTTCTCCCAACCTTGATTGACCTCTAAGGCTTCCTTGTAGTTTTTCGGAACATCTGTGATTAAGTTACATGTTGACAATGCTGCAAATAAATTTAAATCATCTTCTTCATCCAAATAATAGTCGTCGAGATATTTCGGCTGCTTCTTATTACGCACACTCCTCCGTACAGTTGGTTGTCTCTTCTCCACGTCCTTGTCTGACTGAATTTCCCTGTCGTTCAAGTTCTCTATGTCATCTTGGTTTACCTCGGGGTTCTCAGCTCTCGTAGATTCTTCTGCGTCACTGTCGAGTAAGATTCGTCTAGGTTTCGTATCGCCTATTCCTTCGTCGAAGACTACATTTCTTCCATGTACGACCTTTTGATTTTCAACATCTAGTAACCGGTACCCATTATCAGCATACCCGATCATCAATAATTTTCGTGTGTGAGGGTCCAACTTCGATTTTCTTAATTCTTTGGGAATATGATTATATGCCTTACAGCCAAATATTTTCACCTTGTCTAGATTCTGCTTTTCTCCATACCAAACCTCCGCAGGAGTTAAATCATTTGCTAAAACTCTCGTCTTCAATCGATTAATTAAGTAGACAGCAGTTCGCACTGCCTCTCCCCAATATATTTTCTCCAAACCAGAGTCAAAGATTAAGCATCTTGCCTTCTCCATAATGGTTCGATTGAACCTCTCTGAAACTCCATTTTGTTGTGGATTGAACGGTACAGTATATTGAATTTTTATCCCTTTTTGTTGACAGAAACTTTGAAATAACTTAGAGGAATATTCGCCTCCATTGTCGCACCTTAATCGATGGACACGTACATTGAATTTCGCTTCAGCCATTGCGACAAAATTTTGAAACTTTTCTAATGCTTCGCTTTTTCGGTTCAATAAGTACACCACACAAAAATGTGAGAAGTGGTCGATAAACGTTATGAAGTACTGTTTAGCATCGTACGTTGATGGATTAATGGGACCGCAAATGTCTGTCGAAATTACTTCCAGTATCCATGTTGGTTTCCTTTCATTCCGTATAGGCACATATGGTT